TCTTCATGTCTTTTTCTCTCATTTTTCTATCTGAGTAATTATTTCCTATTTTGGATTCACATAGTTTGAGCTCTTCATGTTAAATGCCTGCATTGTTTTTCATCTTATTGATTTTACACTTTCCAAACTAATCAAGAGTATTTTGGATTCAGATCTTATGTTTAAAACAAATAAAAAAAGAAAACCCTAAATTTTCAACCTTTCCAGCTTGTATCATCAATAACTTTTCTAAGTATGTGTTCTCTTCCATCATCCAACTCACTAATGCCTTTCATCTTGACAGGGTACTATAGATAATTACTCTGTAAGGCAATCTTTCAACTTGATGCTGATAACATCAACATCTAATGGAGACAATATTGATATTATGTTTCCCTAGTTTGCTCATGTAGGGAAAAGGACTTTATTAAAATCAAGCTTTATTGTACCTAAAGTTATCCTCTTACTAAACTTATTATTCTTATTTAGAAGAGAAAAATATTGAGGTTTCTTACAAACAGGTCTCACCAAACCATACTGGCTGTTTTACCATCTCTCTTCTACACATCATTAGATACAAATTAATTGCTAAACTATTTACTCCTGAACCTTTATTTGGAATCAAAACTGACAGTTTCAATAATTCTCTTAACAGAGGAATAAAGAGGCACAAAACCAGATACACACAAACCCATTTTGCTGGCTATTTCCACCCTCTGGGATATTAAATAAATAAATAAAATCAGTGGTGCCTAATTCCTCAATCATTCTAGGATGAATTTTATTAGGATTTGCCACTTGAGCACATCTATATTAAGCTTCCTTAGGCTATTCTTTCTGTGCTTTGGTTCCACTCTTATTTCCTGTCTAAGATTAATTTTATGAAAGTAGCAGGTCACAATATATCTCTTTTACAAAGTATGAAGGAAAGAATCCGTCTTTGAAAGTCTGTTCCTTGTTCTCCCTTCTTATTTAATAACAGATCTAGGTAATGGACTTATCCCTTCATGCCTCCTCTTACTCAGATTTTTGGACCCTTTCATTGATTCTTTTCTTGTGCTTTGTAAATTGAAACTTATTTTGTTCTTCAGAGTCATTGATTTTATTCTTACTTCCTATGCTATTCTTTTATATTCATCACTAATCATGTTGTATTATTTCTGCCTGGACAACTCTTTCAATTCCCAGGCCACAGAAGAATTCCTGATATAAAGTCTCTTTTAACAATCACTATTACTATTTTAGTTTATAATAATGAACTATCTCCACACAAAGAAACAACAGTATATACATTAAGGGTAACAATTTTGCAGCCTTTTCAACAGACTAGCTTCTGCCAAGTCCCAGCATTGAGATCAATGGTCCAAGCATGGGGAAGCAGAACACAGAGTGGGCATGCTAGAAATCATCTGCTCTTTGGAGATAACACTAGCACACAGCTCCTTTTTGCTTCAGGAGCTACATTTGGTATTGTGCAGTCAATGTTGCCATACTGGGTAAGTGTGAGAGCAGAGAAGCAAGCCATAGCCTTGGTTTACTATCCCTCTTTTGGTATTCATAAAGTTAGGGTACCAACAGATAGCAATGAAAACTACCTTTCCACCCATACAAGAATGCTGAGATTATGTGGAGTATTCTACTTTCTTCTTTGTGGAAATGCATATCATTTAACTGTTCTCTTTGGGTACTCTCAATAGCAGAGGATATTTTGGATGTCAATTTAAAATCAATAAATTTTAAAGATGAGAAATCAAAAGATATATATTCAGTTAATTTTAAAACCTTCCTTTACACCAACTCTCATAAGACAGAACATGGACCCCAGCTGCTCAAAGCCTCATGTCTCACCATTAATTCTCATCTCTTTCTTGCTTATCAAGTGCAGAGAGAAATATCCTCAGATCAAAGTCTAATTGGGAGCCCCAACTGTGTTGTCTCTTAATCACCGTAAAATTAACTTATCACTATATCATTACCTCAAATAACCTTTAAAAAGATTGATTTTGTATTACTGTGTGGATTTCTATACACTTCAGACAAATACTATCATTTTCTAAAGAACATAAATTGATCTTCAACTGTTTGGAGTAACTGCTAACACTAATTGAAAAGTCAGTAACACACTGCAATCACAGAAACTATTATTTATTCCTTATATTCCTGGGAGAAAGGACTATTTCTCAAAATAGATGAATTCAAGGAAAACACTGAATGACTGTGTAACAAATCAACTCCATAGATAAAATTAAGAATTTTATTATGGAGTTTAAGAGAACAACTAGAAAATAATCCCAGAATCCTAAATGCTACAGTTATACTTAAGATCCAAAGACCAAGCACAAGACAATGACACATTCAAATCACAGGATGTTTTTCCAATTTTAACTCAGTAAAATTAGATTCTCATAAAATGAGATACAAGAGATTAGCCACTGCTGAATGCCTGAAGACAGCAAGGAAACATAACGATAGCTCATTGATTTATCTTCCATAAACTACCTGCCAGAATCAAAATATTAGGGCTTTGAGTTACAAAATCAAAACCAGCTCAGAAGAGCCAGAATTGATACAACAGTAATGAAGAGCAGCAGGAAAGTGCTGCACTGTTAGAAGCTGTAAATCAGTCATTTCTGTCAGCAGTTGATGGAAACTGAAAATCCCACATCAGTGTAACATATCCCCTCGATGAATGCTAGCAACCAAGACTATTGCTGGCCACTCCTAAAGATATTCTGAATGCTAAAAGCTTCTACTGACTTCAGATAAATTTGTCATCATTCAGCACTCTTAAAAGACAGATTATTAGATCCAAACAACCAGATCTGATAATTACCTCATAACTAATATTTTAAATGCTACTTTTTAAAATTTGTGATGCTAAATTCAAAGCTATAAAATCTCAAAATATATTTGTATTCCGCGTAGCACGGAAGATAGAGACAGCATCATTGTATCAATTTTTCTGATATGCCCTAATTTTCATTTATTGGAATAAACAAGAAGATAAGCACATAACAAGTTAACACTATTATTCTTAATCCCATATTCTTTTTCTCTTCCTCCCTCGTCTTATTTCCTCTTTTGTCATCCTGCTCCTTAGTACATCAAATTACAAATTCATCTCTAAAGGGACGTGTCAGTTCCACTTATAAATTCTCATTCTCTGTTACACTAAATGAAATCTAGCTGTTGTTCCTTTTAAAGCAATCAGCGATAAAAACCCGAAAGTGTAAAAAACAAAGCTGCATTGTAACTTGAAGACTTCCAAAAAACACAGTTAAAAATCCCTTGATCTAGATGCTGAGCAAAACATGTGCCTAGTATACAATAGGCTCTTTTTTCTTTGGAACTTGGTAACGGGAATTATTTGGAGACTTCTCCTTCCCTTTACTGTTGATGAACTAAAATTATGAAGAGAGATTTGGTCAAAGTAGTTGAACAGAGTGGCAACTGTGATAGTTAGCTGGGAAGAAACAGCCCCTTCTAAGGAAGGGGCAAGGATATCTGACTAAACCAGGAGGTATAAAAGCTAAACAAATCTAAGAATTAAGTTAATAATATAGGTCTCAGCTGCTGATGTGACCAAAAGGATGACTGGGAGACTCTTATATTTGAAGATATTTTGGGTGTGATAAGGATATGAGGTTCTGGTACAAGAATGGCTAGGTAATACTGCAATGCATGTGCAGCAGTGAAAAGAATGCAAGGCTTAGTAAATGTGCCATCCTTTGTGTAAAGCAGGTGAAATATCACCTGGTGGCAAAGGTGTGCAGCTCCATTTCAGAATGGTCCAATCACAGAACATGAACGCACAGTTGTGAGCACAGTGAAGGCAGTTATAGCCATAACTCTTCCTTTGCTAGTTACTGTTGCTTTTCTGAAAAGTTGATTTTACACCTCATAGTATATGTAACATCTGCATTTCATTGTTGTAAGGGCACTGTATCTCACATCACCTTATTTGTCAAGCACCGTGTCAATCCCAATTTTATGCATCTTTTCCATGCCCCTACTTACATTTCTTCCATTCAAAAATAGCTAAAAAACAAAGAAAAAGTTATCTAACTTAAATTCTTATTTCATAGCTCTGTGTCTGTTCTGCTCCTACTGTCTGATTCATATGAATGGATCACCAGGTAAGTATGGAGATGCCAGCATGAAGATTGGGAAGATACATACAAGAGATTCAGAAGCAACACCTGCTCTATATACTCTGATACAATTTACCACAGATGACAGAACCCTGCAATTTTGCATTAAACACTTTATGCTTATCATTTATGAAACACAGTCACTGCCCAGATTTTATTCCAACTTTCTTCCTTTTTACATACATATGCATACCAACTGCACAGTCATGAATATTCAGCAATATGCAAGTACAACAATGCTGATCCAAGAACTCCACTGCAGGAACATAAGGTCCTTTAACCTTTTATTAGAAATACTTATTAGATAAGAATGGTAAAATCTGTCCTAAATGCCTAAGTCATAATTAACCGCTGTCCACACCTGTACCTAAAGGAGGATTCTATGTAAAAACAATGTTGTTACAGACTGTATATACTTATGATTTACTAGAACCAGTAACATCCTGCATCAATAAAAAGACAAGACTGTTCACTCCACGTTTTAAGTTTCAGCTTTGTATTATATGGCATAAGTTATGAAACTGGTATAAGGATAAAGGACAGTATTTTACTTGACTATATGTCTCATTTTTCAGGCCTGTGTTCTATAAAAACATAATGTAATGTAATTTTTGACAGCTACAGTCACTGTCTCCTGTTTTTCTTCTACTGTGTATACTGTCTATGTCCTTATCATATAGATTAGCACCAGCACTCATTTGAACATCTATTGAAGTGTTTTTGCATGTTCAACTGGCAAAAGCCCGACCTATTTAAACTTATTTTTCTGCAGATTTAGTACACAAACAGGTCACCACAGAATCAGATACGATACATGCAGTACCAGTAAAAAGGAACAACAGGGTCAGGAAAAACAGGTAATTGTCAAACCTGCAGCCTTTGAATCTCAACATCATACTCTAACATCCACTACCAGTCAACAGCAAGACAGAAACTCGAGCCTTTTGTTTGACTTGAAGAACTGTTCTTTCTTCTTCAAGCTCAACGTGCTGAACATGCAACTAAAACACCACGACACTGCAAATACAAATAACAAAACTTTTAGCTGTCTTTCAAAAGTAAAAAGAAAATAAGTATTTGTACATGTCTGCTGTAGGATTCATTCAGACTTGCAAGTGAGGGGCTACTCTGTTTAAATTAATACTATGTGATTCCTTCCTACTTTTAGTTTTTTTTTGTATGATTGTACTTTGAAACGTCTGGCATACACAATGACTACTAGGGGTGCTGGGAAAATTTGATGTGCTCAGGGTCCCCAATCCTTGACAATTTTATTACTTGGTAATTATGGGAACTTTAAGCACACAAGGGAAGACTGATATGCTTCCACCACACTTCTCCTCAATCCTAGAACTTCATTAGCATTTTAGAATCAACTGAATGGTTGCATACATGTATTACAAGTAACAATTTAGAAAAGGGATAATAATTTCCTTGCTAGGCAGCCTGAGTTGTATGCTGTTACAGCTTCTGAAATCCCTCTGCAATTCCAATGTGTATTTCCCTTCATGATTTAGATATGCCCCACAGTGTCATGGCATTATATTAATTTCCTTTTCAGGAGAAGTTTTTCCTCCTTACCAAACCCCTCCTGTGATATTTTTTTGTCTGCTTCTCTGCCTACAGAATTATTACTTTTGAATACTATTATTTTAATGTATTTTTTAAAGTTTTCTTAGAATTTAAATTTTGATTAACTCCTTTCTTTTCTAGCCCCACTTACAATCTTAGTAAAATCCAAGAGTGGAGATAAGGAGTGTCAGAGACAAGATTATTAAGGACATTGTTCCCAGGCAGCTACTGATACAAACGTAACAAATATTAGAAGCATTCAATTCAACTTCCTCCTAAAGGCAAAAACCCTGCTCAGGTCCTCCATTGCATTAGAAGAAAGTGCCCAGACCCAGTCAGAATCAACCTTGAATCAAGAGTTGCACCATTGTTGTAATTCCTCTTTCTTCCTATACTGTGTACGTCCTCTTCTTCCTCTACCTCAAAGTTCTTTATCTTAATTTTCCCCCTTACGCTGAAAAATCTGAATTTAGTTTCCTTTCAAAAAAGTCTGAAATAAACTCAAACTTCTGAAGTTCTTGTATTCCACCTACAAACCAAAAAAACCTTACCCCCATCTCTAAGAGCAGCATGCTACAAACAGACAGCATCCATTCCTGAAGATTTTTGTAAAGCTTAGACTGATGATGCTTTTAGTATAAGTCAGCTGTATGGCTGCAGGAACAACTTAGCTATTTAAGAAGCTACAGTACAGAAAGTCTGCTACCTTCTCTGTGCATTTACAGCACAATCTGACTATGAGCCTGCATCTTCTTAGTACAATGCATTGGCCATCTTAATTTTTTATTTGTTGTTTTTAACTTTACAGAGTGCTGTACAGCAGCCAATGTTGAGAGCATGCTTGTTAGTTAAAATGAGAGGGAGAGAAGGTGGTCTAAGTGAAAAAGTATGTATGCTAATAGGTGTCAAAAGGAAAAAAGCCCAACCCTATCTCTAAAAAAAACACCAGACCAAGAAAACCCAATAAAAACCTCAAAACAGCATAAGCAGCCTGTTTGAAAACACCATACTGAAATAAACTTTTGTAGTCCAAGAGAGCTAACAAGTTGTAGTGGCTGTTCTCATTAACTGCAGCAGCAATACAGTGAGTGAGTCCATTTCCAATGTACTATCATTTAGGTTGAAAATTTAAATTAACTTTCTGGATGCTCTGAGAAATTGCATGAATTCATATGTTTTTCCTAAATAGGTAACAGTTGGGAATCAGACCTTGCTAAGGAGAAATTTACATTAAGATATTCCACTGAAAGATTGATTTTAATTGACAAAATTATCATCTTCTAACTGCCCACATTGCATCATCCAGATCATTAATGGAGATTTTAAACAGGGCTGAACACACTATTGACCCCCGGGGTACAACAATAGTTACCAGCTTCCAGCTAGACTTCACACCACTGATTGCCAATCCCTGTGGTCCATCTGTTTGACACATTTTATGCTGACCTCACTATTTGCTCACCCAACCCATAGTGCAGCAGCTTCTCCATGAGGATGTCACAGGAGACACTGCTGAAAGACTTACTGATTAAAGTAACTACTGCCCTCCCTCTCCTTGCTTACCAAGCCAGTCCTTTCATTGTAGAAAATTATCAGGTTGGTCAAGAATGGCTTCCCCTTGGTAAATCCATGCTGACTACTCCTGATCATTTTCTTTAATGTGTCTTAGAAGAGTTTCCAGGATTAGCTGGTCTATCACCTTCCATCCCTCTGGGGGGATCAAGGTAAAGCTGGTCAGGCTGTAGTTCCCTGATAATTTCTTCCTGCCCTTTTGAAAACAGAAAAAACATTGACTTTCCTCCGGTCTACAGGCACTTCTCCCAGTTTTCTCAGTCTCCCAGTCCTATGATTACTGAGACTGTCTTCACAATGGTATCAGCCAGCTCCTTCAGCACTCATGGGTTCACTCCCAGAGCATTACCTATGTCCTATTTACATAAGTATTCTCTGACCTACACCTCTTTCACATCTTCCCTGCTCCAGACTTTTCCCTGTGTTCTACAGCTCCTGAAGGTCTTTGCTAGTAGAGACGGAAGCAAAGGCAGCCTGCACAACCCTCAGCCTTTCTCACATTCCCTGTTTGTTCAGCCATGAGACCACATTTTCCCTAGTATTCCTCCTGCTACTGGTGTATTAACAGAAACAATTCTTGCTGCTTTTGACATCCCTGACCAGATTCAACTCCAGATAGAGTCTGACTTTCCTAATCACATCCACGCATGCTCAGACACTGCCTCTATACTGCTCGCAGGTAATCTGCTCCTGCTTTTGCACATTTATTTTTAATGTCGGACTTTTGTGATGAGCTCCTTGTTCATCGATGCACAGTTGCTGGCATTTTAGCCTGACTTCGTAAGTGTTGGGATGGACTGCTCTTGAGCTCTGAGGAGGTGATCTTTGAGTATCAATTTGCTGCATCCCTCCAGGGCTTGACCTTGGGGGATTCTTCCAAGTAGATCCCTGAGGAGGCAGAGCTTGCTCTTCGAAAATCCAGGGCAATGATCTTACTTTCTTATTCTTAAACCCAGCTCTCAGAGAAAGGCGGCACTAATATCACTAACCAACTGAATAAGAAATAGATTACATTAGTTTCTGTCAGAGACCATATAGCTTAAAGGAAACATTGCTAAACTGGCACAAACACAGTGAACTTCTTTATTGAAAAAGTTATTACCTAGAGAGCCTTAAAAGAAGCCCTCTCTGCCCAAAAACCATTAAATACCTAAAAGGTTTAAGAAGTAAGGTATCAAAAATGTAATATAACATATCTTACTCTTCAGTTAGACTGACATTAATATGGAATGATTTATTGGTAATATATGAAGAACATTTATTATTAAATACAGTGCTATCTTTTAATTCAAATGCTTATTCACATTTCTTATTATCTTATTATTATTATTGGAGCACATCATGCTTATAAGCTAATTCAATGAAATTGCATTTATGTCTGAAGCTTATCAGTTAGTGTCAGCTGGACACAATTTATTTGTTTCTTTACAACTTCTTGATTGTTGTTTTCACTGAATAACTGCAGAATTTCCAAGTGCAACAACGTTGCAGAATTTTTAAAAATTTTGCAAAAGCAGGCCATTATAGCCAATAGAGAAAGAAAACACATGGGTAAAAGGTATTTAAATTATCATCTCAAATTGCTGACTGATTTTGTCCACTGTTTAATTTACTAATTTTCCTTCAAGAAACTGTCCATCTCTTCCCTTCTTTGTACCCCCCTCCCTTTATCTCTGAACCTAATGGCTTTGAAACTACCTTCACACATTTAAAAAGTAAGACATTCTCATTATCTTACATTTTGAACACACAATTAAATGTTTAGGGTTTTTTTCCCCCTTAACAACCATGTGCTTCATTACTACATCCAGCTATATGTTAATACTGGATTCAGACATCATTTCCTACACTTTGATAATTTATATATTGAAGAGTCATTTACTATACACCATATTCTTGGTATTAATGCTATGTAGCCTTTAACCTGTTTCTTCCCTTCCCAAATGTTCTCCAGGTAGCAGGTTTTATCCATTTTCAAGACTATCACCTCAAAAAACTATAAACAGAGAAGATAAAATGTCTTTCTTGACTTATACCACAGCATATGGTGTCAAAGAACAAATCAAGGTCCTTGGATTAGTAACAGTATCAAAAACTATCAGAGTATAAAAATTACCTTTCCTGCCCTATTCTATGAAGGGTTCAATTGAGTCTTTATATACTAATAATACCTGTTGGAAAGTTTTAATTTAGTCTGTTACAGGAACATTTACTTCCTTCATGTCCTGGATCACCTTAAGTATCAAAACCTTTCTGTGAGTCACTACAGTCTTTAATGACATTAAACCTTATGTCATAAACATAAACCATAATGTCATAAAACAGTCTTCACCTACAGACTATAGGTGAATAATGAAAGAGTCTAACAGGAGACAAACAGAGCTACCAAACAATTTTTTTCAGCAATGAAACAAAAACATTCCCTCTCAAATCTAAATACCATCCTTGCACAGAATAGACATGTATCCAGCCTAGTATCTAATACGCTCTGGGCATTAACTGAGGCACACCATCCTAGCTATCTGGGAGCCCTTTAATAAGTGGGTAGATCCATAATGCATCTGAAGGCCCATTAACTAAAAAATATTTTTTTTAAAAAATAAATTCAGAACATGATATTTTGTATGTCTGTCCCATTATACTAAGAGTTCTAAGATTAGCTATAAGATATGTAAGCATAAGCTGATCAAATACAAGAAAGTTCACTACTATTACTTTACATTTTTCAATATTTCTAAGAAAAGGAAAAGATAATTTGACACTCATGCAGAAAAACATCTAATTTTAATTATTTACTTAATTTAAACAACATTAATGTGAACAGATTTTTTTAATTTGCTGAAAAGGATATGTAAAACCCTCAAGTTTGAACAAAGATAAGCCTAGGAGTTAAAAGGATGTAAAAATAGAAGCAAAATGCTAAGCAGAGTTACTCCAGTTGCCTTGGCCCCGGAGTAATGCAATTTCACAATTCTCTGTAGTCAATAATAAACATCCTCAATTCCTACTTTAAAAACTGCAAATATGCATACATAACACTGGGGTTTTTGAAATATTGATATACACACAATCTCTCACTTCTCACATGAAAAGGCCCAAACACCCCATCTCTTTCAGACTCTCCCCAAAAAATCCAGACTAGTAGGCAAATATAAGTTCCTTGCAAAACCTTCACATACAATACATTTAAATGCATTCCACTTTCCAATTCACAGACTCAATCAAAAACTTTATGATAGAGAACACTACAGTCATAATGGCAATTAAAAATGTAGATCACTGAATCCTAGAATCATTAAGATTGAAGAGACATTTAAGAGACATGTCCAACCATTAACACAGCACTAACTCCAAGAAAGGATTCTTACTAACACCTAATGCTAGAGGCACTAGCAACCAAAGCAGGCATTTCAACACTAGCATGATCATCTATTTCTGTACTAATTTCCAGAAGAATTAAAATATAGGTGGCAAAGCCCTTCAGTACTCTTGATTATGTGTCCTACTGGTTTATTCAATTTCCACTAAAAAATTAAAAATAAAAAAAATAAATTTAATGAGCTAATTTATACATCTTACAGATGTGAATTTTACCCCATTGCAAGTAACATAAATTGATAACTTCATGCAGTATAAACGAGCACTAAAAAAAACCCTCAAAAACCCCATTTAACTTTTCCTCCCTTTAATAGCTTATTTACTACTCTAAGTACCAGCAATGAGACTTTCAGTTATTTTACTACTAATCACTTCATTTGATAAACTAGTCATGATGGACAGCCATGAACTGAAAAACAAGCTGCTGCTGAGGAGGAACTGCAGCAGAAGTATGAAAAACAACCTGTAGGAGAAAACACAGATGAAACAGATCTTCAAAAAGAATAAAAAACGCATTAGTCTTAAAATGAAAACTTTATTGACAACTGTTGCTAAACTGTATGTCAAGAAAAGCTCAAAAAAAGCCTGATAAGAACTAACCTCCAATGAAATCAAATGGCAAAGGACTTTGGACTCAAGTTTTAGTACATATTTTATCATTTAGTGCAAATTAGTCATACTTCACCTCTGACCTTAGCGAACACCTCCCTCACACTGACAGGTAAAAGATCATTGAAGAAATACACAGTGCTGTGGCTTCCAGTATGGACGATGACATAAACTGAATTTTGTCTGTTTGTCAAAACACATCGGCCATTTATTCAGAATAAATCCACATTTGTTTTGTGGTGAATCAATGGTTTTTACAGGCTGCCCAAAACTGGATTAACAGAAAGTGGAAAGCTGCCACCCTCATTTTTAGGCTTCTTTGCCACCTATAGTAGGCAGTTAGAGGAATGACCCTTGAAGATTATAAATGTTTCAGTCTCTCAGCTGATACCAGAATTCAGATGATAATACCCCTCTGACAGGATATTATACCCTCTCATCTCCGCACAGGCCGTCACCAGGCTCTGTCCTCTTCTAACAGGCCTAGGCATAGCTGGAAAGTTCCCCGTCTCTGCACGCTGCGGCACCGGGAGGCTGAACGCCCGCGGGACTCAGGGAACGGGGGCGGCCGGGAAGTGCAGGAGGCCAAACACAAGTTTTTATAAGCAGGCCCTACATGAGCTCCGGGGCCTGAGCCAAAGGGACTGCTCCGGCCTGCCAGGCCGCGGGAGGTGCCTGATGGGCTCCGCGGAAGGCCATGGCCCGTGCAGCTCCTCCCGCCCGCCGCAGCCGCTCCGTCTCATCCCGCCCCGCGCCCCGACTGACCTGCGCCGCTGCCG